GGAAAATACAGTGCGGTCGGAAATAAGCGATAAGCGGTCGATTAAAAGTGGGAAGTTGGGCGAAATGATTACTGTAGTTCAAGTGATATTAGCGTATTTCTAATTTAGTTTTTAACTCAAACAATATTTATTTACTCACTGTTTACTATAGCTAGAGCGCTGTACGTGTCTTCACTTTCAGGTTGGTTCTTCTGCCGATTTCTCGCAACCAACAACGTGATTTTTTTTCTGGGATTTCGAGAAACATAACATGAATCGTTATGGCATTCATACGCACAACATTTCGCCATGTTTCAACTTTTAAGTAGTCAGTTAACAAGGTCTTTCATAGTAGCATTTCTATGGGATTAAAGTACGAGCATGAATGGGTTCAATTATCAGTGTTCACTGATGACATCATCTGACTGGCCCTCTAAAGGCGAAATAACGCCAGGAAAAGCGGAAGTTTGTCGTCTGCTTCACAGTCCGTTTTATACCCGATATTTAGGGCATTTCGCTGCACATACAAGTTGTTTTTATCGACAAAATTTATTCATAGATCTCAAATTTCATGTACAGAGTGTCAAAAGCCACACCTCTGCTCCCCTTTAATATTTCCTGCCTAATGACATATAGTTTTAATTGAGCTTTTGTTTTTAATTGAATTATCCATGTATACAATTAAACCAGTTAGCATAAGGCTACCTTATTATTCCATGGGACAATTAACATTATCAACATTGAATTGCGAGAACAATGATGCGTTTCATGGTAGTATGTCTCAATTAGACTGAATGAAATATGTGTTTTTCAGCTCGAGGCTGTATTCATACTTAGTCTAAGTTACCTGTGACACAGTTACTACGTACTACCAGACTGACATTCATGAACTCAACACAGTTGACCTGCTTCAATATAATAAATTCATTTCAAGGAGAGATACTAGGGAGAACACTACTCAAAAATATATATAATGTCAATCTGTTATAAACAGATAAATGACAGTGAAATTCGGAAGAACGTAAACCAGACAGTCAAAATGTTGCAAAAATATAATTGATCTGCAAGAAATTTGGGCAGAGTGATCACTGGTTTTTATTTACTGATTGTGCTGAATAGGGGAAATACCAATGACCGGTGTACCATGGGTAATGTTGTGTGAATAGATACCTCCCTGCCCGGATAGTCAGGCTGGAAAGGCAGGCCAGTCAACTTAACCCAAATAATCTGTACCACGATGCAATTTGAAAATATACTTATTGTAGAAAGCGATAATGTACAGAGCTCCGGCAGAGCTTTGCAGGTAAAAGACCGTTGAGGTGTTACCGGAAATGTTACTAACGTTTTACAATTTTATACCCGAGTTGATGTTTTCAATATAGTGTTAGAAAAGTGTTTTTGTTGACCATAGCTTTCCAAATATTAGTTGCAAAAAAGCATAAGCAAATGCTGAATATATCCGGATGCTACTATTGAGACATCATATGAGATAAGTTATACACAAATACGTTCTTTGGCGGAATATCAAGTAAACCCCAACTACAGTCTGATACATTTTGACTGGATCGACGGCACATTACCGTTTACAATTATACCACGTCATTGCATTTTGAACACCCCATTTTTTGTTCAC